TGACCAAATTTTGGTTAAGCTTTAGCTGACTGACAGATGGTCTCACATAGGACTCTAGAAAACTTTGGAATACCAAGGAATTCATGGCTGACTCAATGAGTGCAAGGTTCCCAGCTCCTATGTATCGGAAGTTGGATGGTGCTGTTCCCCTGTGACTATCCCATCCAACTACTGATGAATAACCTGCCTCCCCAAAACATGGAAACTCCTGTCACGCATCATAGCCTCCAAGATCATATGAGTCAATATATGATCAATACTCAGAAGGGGATTGGAAACAACACCAGAGGATCAAAACACCAACTACTGGTAGACCAAGCAGTTACGAGGGATTCTAAGACCAGACAGACCAATCTGTGTACGGCTTGGATTGACTACAAAAAAGCCTATGACACAATGCCACACACGGATACTGGAATGCTTGGCTCTCTACAAGGTCAGCAAGGCAATAAGAGCCTTCATCAAGAACTCAATGGTCAAGTGGAAAACAAATCTAGAAGCCAATTCTAGGACAATAACTCAAGTGAACATTAAATGTAGCATATACCAAGGTTATGCACTATCCTCAATGCTGTTCTGCATAAGCTTCAACCCCCTTAGCCAGATCATCAAGAAGAGTCGATATGGATACAGGTTCAAGGTGGAGCTACCATCAGCCACCTACTCTACATGGACGACATCAAGCTGTATGCCAAGAATGAGCAAAACATCAACTCACTGATCCACCTACTTAGGATATACAGCAAGGACATTGGAATGACGTTCTGAAATGCGGACGGATAATAGAAAAAATGAGGGAAGATGATCAGGACAGAAGAAGTTGAAGTTCCAGAAGGCCAAATAGAAGATCTAGAGAACAGCTACAAGTACCTGGGGGGTACCACAAACGCATGGCAACTATGAGGAAGAGGCAAGGAGGATAGTACCTCCAAAGAGTCCCAGCTCATTGACAAGAACAAGATCCAAGCCATCAACACATATGACCTACCGGTCATCAGGTACTCAGCTAGAATAATAACCTGGCCAAGAGAAGAACTGGTCACCATGCACTTCAAGACCAGGAAACTACTCACTATGAATGGAGAATTCCACCCGAAATCCACCACCCATAGACTGTACACCTGCCGGAAGGTAGGACAAAATCCTACCAGTGGTTGGAAAAGGCAGGACTGAAAGACAGCACTGAGGCACTAATCCTAGCAGCACAGGGGTAGGCACTCTGCACCAGATCAATAGACGCTGGAGTCTACCACACCAGGCAAGACCCAAGGTGCAAACTGTGCAAAGAGGCATCTGAGACAGTCCAGCACCTAGTAGCCAGATGCAAGACGTTAGCAGGAACAGCATACACGGAGAGACACAACCAAGTTGCTGGGATTGTGTACCGAAACATCTTCACAGAATATGGATTGCACCTGCCTACGTCCAGATGGGAGATACCACCAAGGGTAGTTGAGAATGACAGGGCTAAGATCCTGTGGGACGTCAAGATCCAGACAGACAAGCAAGTACTGGCCAACCAACCAGACATCGTGGTGAAAGACCAGGAATGAAAGACTTCAGTCGTTGTGGATGTGGCAATACCCAGTGACTATAACATCAGGAAGAAGGTGGACAAATACCAAGGACTGAAGGAAGAACTAGAAAGGATGGGGAAAGTGAAGGCAGTAGTAGTCCCAGTTGTGATAGGAGCACTCGGAGCTGTGACTCCCAAGTTGGGGGAGTGGCTTAAATAGATTCCAGGTGGGACATCTGAGATAGCTGTCTAGAAGAGTGCAGTTCTAGAAACAGCTAAGATACTGCACAGAACCCTCAAACTCCCAGGCCTCTGGTAGAGGACCCGAGAATGAGGAATAAACATACCACCCAGGAGGGGTGAGAAAATATTTATTTATTATATATATATATATATATATATATAATTTTATTTTTTTACTTTTTTGTGCTCCACCTTGCTGTTTTCAACTATTATTTATAAAGTGCACAATATATTATACAGCCCGAAATAGCTGTTAATAAAATTCAAATTCCTAGCTTTTATAATCTAGATTCCTCTCCTTCCTTGGACTAAAATTGTGAATTGTACAATGATCAGCCACAACATTAAAATCACTGACAGATGAAGTTAATAACATAGATTATTTCCTTACAATGGCGTCTGTCAAGGGGTGGGATATATTGGGCAGTAGTCAGTTCTTGAATTTCATGTGTTAGTAGCACAAAAAATGGGCAAGCGAAAAGATCTGAGTGAGTTTCACAAGGGCCAAATAGTTATGGCTAGATGAATGGGTCAGAGCATTTCCAAAACCGCAAGTCTTGTGAGGTGTTCCTGGTATGCAGTGGTTAGTATCTTCCAGAAATGGTGCAAGGAAGGGCAACCAGTGAACCGGCATCAGGGTCATTGGCGCCCGAGGCTCATTGATGCTCATGGCAGCAAAAGCTAGCTAGTCTGGTCCCATGACACAGAAGTGCTACTGTGGCTCAGATTGCTGAAAAACGTTATTCTAGCCATGGTAGAATGGTGTCAGAACACACAGTGTATGACCATTGACTGTGTAGCCACAGACTAGTCAGAGTGTCCATGATGACCCCTGCCCACACCCAAAAGTGTCTTCAATAGGGATGTGAGCATCAGAACTGGAACATGGAGCTATGGAAGAAGGTTGTCTGATCTGATGAATCACATTTTCCTTTAGAACAGATGGATGGCCTGGGGAAGAGATGGCAGCAAGGATGCACTATGGGAAGAAGGCAGGCTGGCACCGGCAGTGTTATGCTCTGGGCAATATTCTGCTGGTAAACCTTGGCTCCTAGCATTCATGTCAATGTTACCTTTACACATATCGCCTACCTAGAGATTGTTGTACACCCTTTTCACCCCTTCATGTCAATGATGTTCTCTGATGGCAGTTGCATCTTTCAGCAGGTTAATGCACCCGGCCATACTGAAAGATTGTTCAGGGGACGGTGTTGCCTTGGCCTCCAAATTCCTCCGATTTCAATTCAGTTGATCATCTTGGGATTTCTGGAACAACAAATCCGATCCATGGTGACCTAACCACTCCACTTGCAGGACTTAAAGCATCTGCTGCTAATGTCTTGATGCCAGATACCACAGGACATGATCAGAAGTGTCCTTCAGGCACAAGGGGAACCTACACTATATTAGGCATGTCGTTTTAATGTTGTTCAGTGTTGATCAGTGTATATAGTACAGAAAGTCATCTAGTTTCTATTTCACTGGCAGCCTGATTATCTGCAACCAGTATAGGTCTGACTGATTAAGTCTTTAAATGGCCTCTCCAAGCTTTAGTTGACCCATAATTTCTGTTCTACATGCAACACATTACAAATATGCAAAGATAACAATCTTGAGAAACAAAGAAACACACCTTTTTCTTATTTTCTCTTTACATTTGCTGAGATTTTCAGTTACTGCACTAACCATCAAGTAGCTGGAAATCTTTCAGCCACTGCTGGTCCCCCTGTTCTCTTCAGTAGAAGACCTGATCACAAACATGTTGTGAACAGAGGGTGATATATAATTTAGTACTTGACAGCAGTTTACTTCATGAAAATAGATTAATGAAACTGCTGTGCTAACATTGGGAGTAATGATTGCCCTTTAAATCCAAAGGGGTCATTAAATATTGAATTGTGACTTAAGAACTATCATGCACCGTTTTGCCCAAAGTAGCATAGGCAGATAAAACTACCAGGCTGAGTTGTCCATTTGTTCAACTTTTAGCCTAAATTTTCAAAGTAGGTCAACACATCAACCACAACTTATTGTTATTTAGGGAATTAATGCGTTTGCCAAAAGTTAAAAACAAGACAAGCTAAAAACAATCTCAAATTAGCTGAAGCAAAATGTGGCACGTTTAATGGCTTCACTACTTGCAATGTATGACTTCAAATATATAATGATGCAATGTATGACTTCAAAATATAGTGATGCAATGTATGACTTCAAATATATAGTGATGAAACGTATGACTTCAAATATGTGCATGAAGGTTTGCCTCTAGTGGCTGTCAGTCTGGCACTAGAGACCTGGCTTAACCAAAACAGAAACATTCTTTCTGTGAAATGCCAATATTTAATATTGTAAGAAAAAATGGACAAGGTCTATGTACTAAAAGCACTTAAAGAAACACTATAGTGTTAGGAATACAAAACTGTTTTTCTAACACTTTATTGTACCTCTGTCTTTGCGCCCCCTCACCCCAGACAAGAAGGAATAAACCTCTTTTTTTTTTCCACTTATTGATTCCAGCGTTGCATCAGTCTCCTCCTCCCTCACGCGAAGTCACTGTGCTCCGGGAACGTAACATGCATTGGTGGTGAGTGCCGCGTGTGAGTCAGCTTGACTATGGGGTTTTTCAAGATGCTGGACATCCTCATACAAAGTGTGAGGACGTTCAATGTCGTTTCACAGAATTAAACTTTGTGAAACTGCAGGAAGTGCCTACTTTGGCTGTCTGGTAGACAGCCACTAGAGGTAGTCTTTATCCTGCAATGGAAACATTGTCTTACATTGCAGGGATAAGGTGACCGGGTCACTGCACCTAGATCACTACAATGAGATTAAGTGGTTTGGGTGCCTATAGTGTTCCTTTTATGAAGATGTGGTTTTGGTGACTAGAGTGTACCTTTAAGCTCATCCATAGTAGATGCATTTCTCCCATTATTTTGAAGTTGCTGTCATAAGCCTGGTAGCAGATGTTTAGAATTGATTATTTTTGAATCCCTTAGTGCATTTAGATAGTTTCACAGCATCCCTAGCAAGGTCCAAAACTGTTTTTGCATTTTGCATTCATGCAGATTTTAAGTATTAATTAATCAAGCTGTTTAAAATAAGTTTGATATACATTTTCTTAGTGCTGAGGGGCAGCTTCCAACCTGTACCAGAAGTAAACTGTATTACTCAAGGAAATTGCAGAAATTCAAGGATACCTAGCCCATGCAGACTTATATCGGTCCGAGGTTGATGTAGATGTGCGTTACAGTATTTTAGCAACTTCAGAAAGATGCAAACCATGGATACATGGTTTGCATCTTTCTGAAGTTGCTAAAATACTGTAACGCACATCTACATCAACAATTCACTGAAACCGACTTCATGAAAATGAATCAGACCAAGATCATTATTAAAGAGATGAGCACTGGAAACCATCTGTGTATCTGTTGATGCTGGAGAGTGAAAACCTAAATTCCTTTAAGTGGTGTTTGGACTGTCACTTTTACCTAAGGATTGTGTGAATGGGGCCAGAGACTGGGCCGCACTGAGAAATTTTAGAAGACTCACTAATAACATTCATTCAACTAAATTGTTATTTTGAACAGGAACAATATCTTAATTATACATAAACATATTTGTTGTAGTTTAAAGGGTACTCTAACTCAGGCATAGGCAACATTTGGCACTGCAAATGTTTTGAACTACACCTACCATGATCCTTTGCCAGCATCATGGGTGTAAGAGCATTATGGGGGATGTAGTCCACAACATCTGAAGTGTCAAAGGTTGCCTACCCCTGCTCTAACACGTTGAACAAAATAATTTTTTAATAGTTTATAATGCTCTACTGGTCATAATTCACTAGGTAACTGCCTTATAGACCTGCAGTTACAAACTCAGCTGGAATCGGTGCCGGCAAAGTTCCTTGTGTTAGTATCCATGCCTTTTGTTGACGTCACTGGTGCCCTCTCGTAGTCTAAATAAATGCTTCTCATAGAGTTGCAGTTGAGTGGATTGTTTCACCGGCTTAGAGTGCATGATATTGGGCTTTTCCGGGCTGTGTAAGTCAAGTGTGCCAGGGATGCACAATTGCAAATATTTCTGGATGTGCAGTGTTTGAAGCAGAAACGCTGCAAATACAGACTCCTGCCACCATGACCACTTCTAAGAGCAGAGGTGGTCATGGTGGTTGGGCTAAACCTTAAAACACACTTTACTGTGTTTTATTGCTGTTGGAGCTCTGGTATAGATTCAGACACAACAAGAATTCTTGGCTCCTACAAAAAAGTGACATTAGGATAGCAAAGATGGATAGAGCAATTTGGGCACAAAATATGGACTGTCCCTCCTATATAGTGACATTTGAGAGTTATGTACTACATTTATTACAAATGGAACCCGAACGACTGAGCTATCTCGCGCATGGAGAGTGAAGCTCTGTGCTCACAACAATGCACAGTACAGTGAATGTTCTTGTTGTGAAGGTTTACATTATAGAGTGCTATTGTTGTCAGTGACTGTAATATACTCATACACATCACACAGCACCGTTCATTTTATTGTTGTGAATTTCCTTAGTGTAATCATAATGAGCGCTCGTGTTGTCTGTGTTATTGCTGTGTAATTTTGATTTCAAATGTTCTAAGTATCTGTAAAGGGTGTCAGATGCCTTTACTATAAAAATGTATGCTGTTATTTGTTAGGTTTTTTTTTTGTTTGTCTGTTTGTTTTGTTTGTTTGTTATGCAGACTGTGACCTGGAAAGACTCTGCGAGTGAATTTTTAGGATAGGTAATAATTTGTTCTGTGCTGTATATTTGTGAAGTATATTAGTATTTTTTGTGTGTATGGTTAACTTACTGGTTTAATTAACATTGTATAATAAGAAACTGCATAATATCTTGCTGTGTTATTTTGCTTTGCAATGCTTCAGACTAATGCTGAGCAGAGTTTGTGAAGAACACATTGGTGTGTTTGTTAATCTGTTGAATTAAGTCTGATTGCTGCGTTAAATTATTTTTACTTTTCTCAAAAGCTCTTTAAGCAAGCTACATATTTGGGAAAATACAATAATTACAAATGTTCTAAACTCCATTTACTTTACAGAGAAAACCACATTTTGCTTCAGCTTAGAGTAGTTAGAACCTTAGTATGACGAGGGGAGGCAATGTTGTATGATAAACACCGATCTAGGCAATGTGTTATGATCACAGAGTTTTTCTGAAAATTTTTAGAAAATGGCAATGACCACCATTTTTATTATGCCCTCGAGAAAATATTCTACCATCGTTATTTCACTGAGACATTGAATGATTTTTCAAGGCAGCGAAAAACAGGGGAACTAATGGAAGATATACGTTTATTTTCTGCCTACACAGCAGTGAAACAGTGTTATAAAATCTTAAAATCAAACTTCTTTGAAAGCTGACTGTGTCATAATGTATAGGCCGATTCTCCAGGCTGCTCAATCCTCAATAATTCAAGTGTGTGATTCCCAAAGGACACTTTTTGGCAGGCACAAGTATCGGAGTCCCGGCCTTGCACCAAAATTTCTACCATTTTTTTTCTTTAAACCAAATTTGGCTATTGCTGAAAACAAACACGGTTTTCTGAAATGTGGGATTTTAATGTGGGATGCTGTGGGCAATGCTGTTACAGGGCATGTGCAGGAGGACAGAGCTCCGGGACAAGAAGCAAGCAGTCTGCAACTCTCGACCACAGTAATTGATTCATCGCGGTCTGGCTCACTAATGCGGTATATGCACTAACAGAGTACCGGTACCGCAAGGGAGCGATTTATTGTTGTCTGTACCCACCGGAGGTGGAATGTAAATTTGTACTCCAAGCACCATATCCAATGCAGCCCACTGTAGCGGTTATGGTGCCAGTAGTGTCTTGCATACCCAGAGCAAGTAGTCAAGCCATTAAACGTGTCGCTCCCTCTCTTGGACCTTGCAAAGAGTTTTGGTTTGCAGAGTCAACGTAGTCAGTTATACATACAATGCAAGGCTCCAGGGCACTAATGATACCATAACCACTAGAGCAGATTGTAGTTATTATGATACTAGGAGTATGCCTTTAAAATATACTGCTGTGACGATCATTGATCATACATTTGAAGAGCTCTACATTCTACTCTAAAGAAATAGTAAAGTGCCATGAAAATAAGCACATAGTGTACACAACTATTCTCGTTTTCAAAAGTTGAAGAAACTAGATGTTTTGACGAGTCAAAAATATGTTCCAGTTCACTTTCTGTTACTATATTTCCTAGCTAGGATGTAAACTCCACTCCACAAGTTAGATTGTGATCTCCAGACAACATATCTGTGTCATAAGAAGGAATACGCTCAAATTTCTCTTGATCAATTGTGGCTATGTGTAAAACCTACAAATATACAGGACTAATTGACGATTTTTATTGTTTTGCACAGATTAGCATTATGGTTCTATAAGTAGCAAGTGATATTCTAGTTTGGGTTTAGGTGTAGCCTCTTTGTTTCCTAACTAAAGTGATGGTAGTTGTATGGGATGAGACCGCTACTATTTAAAAATTAACTAAAAACTAGATTCAGCACAAAAGGAAGACTGGTAGTTGAAATAAGATACTTACAAGACAAGGAGCTTCTTTTAGGTTGCCCTGGAGCAGTAGGATCCCCACCTATGGATATTTAAGTACGTCTCTTGATCTCAGCACAAGGCCAAGTGATACATAACAGAACACAGAAAGGGACACTATATAGTATAGTAATTTATAATAATATTAGTATTACAAATTGGTAAAATAAGAAGTGCACTCACATTTAATGGAGACCAATTTATGGCACCTATATACTGCATGGAGTGGTATAATCCCCACTCTATGACTAATGTGACTAACAGTTGCAATCTTACTCCTCCTAATTAAACTCCATATTTTTTTTCCCCCTAAAGTTAAATGCTTGTTTCTGTATAATTTTATTCTCACTTAAGTTGCAATATTTGAAAAATCCATTAATATAAATGTTATTCTAGTTCATATATACATTAACAGTAACATTAACAGTCTGTCACTTATTGATGATGCCATCATAACATGTGGCCACCATAACTCGATTGTTTTCAACTGCTATGAATAGAGCAATGTGTTCAGGTTACTGTAACACTTGAGAAAGCCCTATGATGTGGCAAAATGTGTTGTTACTTTTAATTATTCTTTATTGTTTTATTGCACTTCAATAAAGATAATTATTTTCAAACTACCATGGACCATGCTGCTTATCTTTGGAACTTCATGAATTGGTTGTGGAGTGTACCACCAGAACCTTATGAAGTGAGCAAAACCATACTTTGCTCCGAGCTAATAAGCGGATTTTCACTTGTTTCATCAATTTTGTCGAACAGTGTGCACTATATTGCTCTATTGTTGTTTCTATGTATACCACGGAGAAGACACCACATCACCTCTTCATCTTTAGAGTATGGATTATACCACTCCAGGCTTTATAAAGGAGCCACATATTGGGCTCCATTAAATATGAGTGCACATCCTATTTTAGAATACTAAATAGTATTATAAATTTCTACACTATATAGTGTCCTTTTGTGTGTTCTATTCCATATACCTGGACCTTCTGCTGAGATCAAGAGACGTACTTAAATATCCTTAGGCGGGGATCATACCACTCAAGTGCAACCTATAGGAGCTACTGAGCTCATTCTCACGTAATAGTATCTCTTTTTCTCCTGCATTTCGTTTGTATTACATACTACACTATATTACTTTCCCCTGCCCCCCTGTTTTTTGTTAAATATACAATCAGAGGCTAAATAAAGGCACTACTCCCAGCTTCAGCCTTTGATTAGCTACCATTGCCATGAGAGTCAATTTCATTTAGCACGGAGGGCTGTTGTAGTTATTTTTATCTGATTTATTTTTTCTCTCACAAAATAACGGTGAGCGTCTCTGACAAGGTCTGTTAACAATGGTAGCTCATCCATTCTGCCTTGATTCTTACATTGTTGCAGTAATAACTGTGCCATCCTCGTCCACCTTTCTCTTGTTATGTGCACTGCTCAGAGGGTTGTCCAATAACCTTTAGATACCCTCCAGCCCTCCTCTCACCTCTCCTCAGCCCAGTGGAATAAACCAGCAGCGCAGGCATTTGATCATCACCCCAAGTTCAAGCAGACTCAAAACTGGGCCAGTTCACTTGTAAAATATCTATGTCTTGAATGTTTTATTTCTTTTTTTACATGCCGGTACCACTCATCCTGCTGTGCTTAGATTTTCTTTCTGTGGTTGTTTTTTATTATTTTGGTTTTAGGCTATCTGCTTTTTCTTACACACCATCAACTTATTGTCCGAC